ACCCCCACAGTATTTGTTTCCAAAGAGTATGTCATCTGTGTACCAAGTTTGGTTGAAATTGCTGGAGGCGTTCCAGAGTTATGCTGGAACACACACATACACACACAGCCATTTTTATATAGATAGATATGTACACCACCCCTTATTTGTGCACTTTTGTTCAGCAATGGCCAAGTTGGCTGGGGAATTATGGGAACTGAAATGTACACATCTTAAAATAATTCAGACTGAGGAAAGCTAGCTGTTATGTGCAAAACAGAATCCAAAAGTACAATCAGGAAATCACTGTGGTGAATGCATGAAAACGGCACACTGCATACTCAACTTCAGAGCAAGATTCAAGCAAATTTATTTCTCAGAAATCTGCGTAAAATTGGGTTACCTGAGACAGGATTGTGAAGCAGACTCTAAGTCTGGTGTAGTGGTTAAGGCACCAGCTAGAAAGTGGGAAACCATGAGTTCAAGTCCTGCCTTAGCCAAGAAAGCTGGCTGGATGACTTTGAGCCAGTCAGATCTCTCAGCCCAACCCATCTCACAGGGTTGTTGTTGTGTGAAAAAATAGATGGAGGAAAGGAGTATTAGCTATGCTTTGCTGCCATATGTTACTTATAAAGTAATAAAGGCAGTATTGCAAAATATAATAAATAAATCTAGACTACAAGAAATCCTCGACTTACAACAGTTCCTTTAGTGGCTGTTTGAAGTTACAATGACACTAAAAAAGTGACTTGTGACCATTTTTCACACTTATGACTGTTGCAGCACCCCCCCCCCCCCATTAACATTAGCATGCTTGACAACCAACTCACGGTTGCAAGGTCCAGAGTTATGTGATTACCTTTTGCAATATTCTGACAAGCAAAGTCAATGGAGAAACCAGATCCACTTAACAACCGTATTACTAAGTTAACAACTACAGTGATTCACTTCACAAATGTGGCAAGAAAAGTTGTAAAATGGAGCAAAACTCAATTATCAAATTTCTTACTTGGCAACATAAATTTTTGGCTCAACTGTGGTCGTAAGTTGACGACTACCTGTACTGCTATAAACTGATTAATGGGCTTCAGTCAACCTCTGTTTCAGAGATTAAAAACACTTCTGCCAGATCACTTTTAACAGCTGACTCAGACAGTGCATGCCAATAGGAATGAAGCCAAATAAAGCCATCACGCATCAAATTATCAAGGGATCAGCTGATTTCAGTGCGATCCAGCCAAGATGGATGCAAACAGAGACGTTTCATATTTTAAAGTCATCGTGGGTTTTGCCACAATTACTTTTATGCATCATGCTTGCATTCACTGCCTTATAGGCACACATGTTCAAATAATTAGACATCTACAACAGGGAGTCATCTCACTCAGCATCTAGCAGCATTGCCAAAGATTTGGCTGGTGGGATATGTTCTGTTCATTGGGTTTTATCTTGGATTACTACCTAAGCAATGTGTAGTATCCTAAAGATGTCAGTCATAATCAGACCTGGTCAGGACATGGAGAGAAGACCACATAATCATTCCAGATGTGTAGGACAGATTGAGAAATGAAGACAATCCTGGAAAAGATAAATGGCAACTCACTTTCATGCTATTGCCATCTAAAAGTACAATCAGGAAGTCACTGTGGTGAAGGCATGAAAGCTGCACACTCTGCATACTGCATACAAAAAAAAATTCAGCTGTTTCTATCTAGGTACCAGGAGATAATCTTCTGAATGGAAGACGACCTCACCTTTGCTTATATGATAGGGAACTCAAGCGTAGTAGGCAATAAAGATTACCTGAATATGGAAGAAGCATTACTTAGGAGTACAAAGGAGCTGGTGCATATTTAAAGACCCGGAACACAAGACAATATTTGGAAGCAGTTCAGGCAGATATCGCCCTGATTCAGATAATCAGGCTTACAAGATTCTATTATTATAGCCAAACTTACTAAAGTATAGTTCTGATCTTCCTGTGGGCTTGATTTCTGGGTCTGGTCTACCTCACAGGGCTGACAATCATTCTCCAGCAAATGTTAAATGATTCTCTAAAGCAGTGGGTCTCAACTTTCCTAATGCTGCAACACTTTAATAGAGTTCCTCGTGCTGTAGTGACCCTAACCATAAAATTATTTTATGTTTTCCATATTTTTTCAAAAATATTTGCTTTCCAATTGTCTTAGATGACTCCTGTGAAAGCATCGTTCAACCCCCAAAAGTTGAGAACCACTGCTCTAAAGGAAAGAACCAAACCATTTCTCCTTTTAATATTGAAGAGAGCCTGGAATCCTGCTGGGATAAATCAAACATTCCTTGAACATTTGGTTACAGTCCTGCATTATACATAGAAATAAATGTCTGTCCCCTACTCCCAAGTCTCTCACAACGTTTGGCCTGATGAACTCCGAAACATCCAGCAAGTATCGGGTTGTCTAAAGTAGATGGCACTATGTAGTATTAGCTCACTGATTTGTGACAGTCCTTCTGTCCTACAATCTGGGGTCTTCCATTTCTTTCTGCAGTGCAGAATCCCACAGTAGTCCTCCCCAACCCTGCCCCATAGCCACAGCTCCCCCTTTCAAGAAATCAGCTGAAATCTATGCTTTACTCCCCCTTAAAATAACGATTTGTGCCTTAATGCCAAGCAGCTGTGAAAACAGAGCCCAATATCAACATCGCCACCATTGGTTCCCAAGAAGTTTTCCTTTCTTTCAGGAAAAAAACTACTGGTGAACATTTGAAAGCACCTTGATTGATCCAACTCCCTTAGTTCATTGCTGCAATCTGTTAAACTGAGTTTGATCTTTCAAATTAAAAATAGGAGCCAAACAATCAGATGGGAGAGGAAAAAAGCTCTTTCGCACACTTCTTTGCATATAAGGAGAACAAACAGGGACAGATGCTCACAATCAAGCAGAAAAAAGAGAAGAGACCATATGTACAAAGACCTGCGAGCGATTACAAGATGTACAGCCAGCGTGCACAAATGCGAGGAGAGGAAATGCGTATTTGCATACGCTCAACAAATTAACCATTTTTACAGTGTGTGTGAGTAATTAAAAATTGAGGTCCTACACAAAGACAGACAGGTCCTGCCCCAAAAGATTTAAAACCTAATTGCCCACCGCATCCTGTGCATCTCTCCACTCACAAGAAAGCTTCCAAAGTGCAATGGGATTTGCTCTTAAAATTAGATAAAAGGGTGAAAGATCAGGGAACAAACAGAGGCGAAGAAAATCAAAGCGACAACCGCAGCAAATGAGATGCAAAAATATGTCAACTTGCAAGTTTGTTTTGGCTGCTGAAGCACTTTCATTGTAAATTTTAGATATCTGTGCACTTTTTAATCCACGGACAATTCTGAAGGGATAGGTAGAAATTAGCCTTATTAAAGCCTGCTCAAAATGCTTTAGGTTAGCATTATAACACTCCAAATTGCAAAGCATATTAACAGAACAAAAATAGTTCAGGGCACTGTTTTGTTTTTTTTAATGCACGGTAAGAATGCCCGCCTTTTCACTCCTGCAATAAACCTGCCAAATACATCACTATTATTCGTTTGATGGAAGTCGGTGGGGGGAGAGGGGAGAGGTAGAATAAACATGTTCTACAGGAAAAAAATAATAATAATCCCAGGTTTCTAAATCCAGGGTTGAACTACAAAATTGGAAGGATATGTGATTACATGATTATAATGGTATTCTTTGCCAAGAGGAAACTCAGCTGCAACCATCCTGACTTGTTCTCCCACCATTCTTCATTATACAACAACCCTACCAAGTAGACAAGTCTATAAGGGGAGGCGAGTTAACTTCGGGCTCATCTGAGCCAAATCTGAATACCAAAGGCGGGTTTCTCCGCCTTAGATGGGACTCACACTCTTACAGCCAGGATTAGGTATCCCTTCCCCACGCATCCAACCCCTGCCGCCCTCCATCCAAAAGTCATAAATCTGCTTAAAATGAAGGGGGGAGGGGAAGTGGGGGAGGCTGCCACCAGGACAGCGAAGAGACCTAGTTCTTGCAAAGCCGGCAAAGGGCAGAGCCGGCTCGGTCTTTGTCTCCCATTCATTTGCCCACGGGTCGGGGGGGGGGGTCGGGAACGACACCGATTCTTGGGGTGGGGTCCGTGGCATCATCGAAGTGGTTTGACACCTGGGCAGCGCGGGTGGGCAGAACCACGGGGGCATCTCGGGTGACAAAGCCAAGCGGGGAGAAAGCATAAGGCACAGGGGGAGAAAGAGGGGGAGAAAGAGGAGGAGGAGGAGGCGAGGTTTTTGTTTTTGTTTTCCTTACCCCATCGTCGCTTTCTTCCATCTTCCATTTCCCGGACAAGCCCCCCCCCTCCCGCCTTTCCTCTCGACCGCTGCAACAATAGTCCGAGGAGGGTGGGATGCCCGGGGTGTGGGGGCTGCTGCTGCTGCCTCTGGGCGCCCCGTGCGCGACGTCCTGCTTCTCCCACCTTTCTGCCGCCGAATCCTTTTGTTAAAGAGGCTGAAGCCGCCGAGCGCCGCTCAGAGCGGCGGCAGCCGAGGCTGAGGACTTGACTGGGGGCTCCTCCGGCATTTGCCTCAGCCGCCGCCGCCGCCAGCACGCTCACACGGGCTTGAAGGATGGCAGCGGCGAGGAGTCGGCATGACAACGCGGGGGGGGCATCCTTCGCTCCCGAGGCAGCCGCCTCGCCTGACGCTGCCAGCCACCCCAGCCCGGAGGGACGGCGACTCGACCCTTTCTGAGCATGTGCGAAGCCTTTCCCTCGGCCGCCTTCCCTTCGAGGGCCCGCACATGAGCACTGAGGAGCAGCGAAGCTGTTTCCTGCCCGGAGCCAAGCGAGCCTTGCGTGGAGCCGAAGCCGAGCGGAGTTCTCGTCTTTGCTTTGCTGCTGCCGTCGCCGTCGCCGCCGCGTTCTTAGAGACTCCGAGTTCGGCTTTTTCGGGAAGGGGCTGCTGTAGCAATGGTGCCCTTAGCTTTGTCCACGAAAAGGACCATCGGGCGAGTTGCTTGTGAGGGCGAGAGTCAGATATCTCTGCAGTTTTAGCAAAGAGGCACCCGCGTGGCGAGGAAGTTTTGGGGTCCGTGGTTGAGCATCTGTGGAAACTAACTTAAAAGGAGAGAAAAGGAAACTTTTCCTTCTTTTTAAAGGGAATCCCCCCGCGGCCATGAAGTAAAATGCAGGGTGAAGGAGCTAATTCTCGGGATAGTGGCCCCTAGATAGGAGCGTACTGAAAGGAGTAAGGGGTGTATTCAACTAATTACACGCTATGGCTGCAATTCTGTATAGCCTCCTTCCTCAGACTGGAACCTCACAGAAGGGCTACACTACAAAACACACACACACGGAGACACGTTTGTTTATTTGTTTAGTTTGCCACTCATGTACAAGATAACAGGAATAAGAACATGAATAAGAACACAGGAAATGGGGACAAATAAATGGGGACAATAGGACAGGGACATGCGCTTATGCATGCCTCTACTGACTTCTTAGGAATGGGGTGAGGTCAACAGTAGACAGTTTAAGGTTAAAGTTATTGGGGGCTTGAGGATGTAACAACAAAGTCAGGTAGAGCATTCTAGGCATTGACCACTCTGTTGATGAACTTGTATTTTCTGCAATCGAGTTTGGTGCGGTTTACCTTGAGTTTGTATTTATTGTGTGCTCCTACCTTATTGCAGTTGAAGCTGAAGTAGTCATTGTAGCAGATGTAGCAGATAATTTTGTGTACTACGCTTAGGTCAGACTGTAGGGGCCATAGTTCTAGGTTGTCCAAGCCCAAAATTTCGAGCCTGGTGGCATAAGGTATTCTGTTATGAATGGTTCACCGACAAAACCGCGCTTGACTAAACCACGTCGCTGACGTCATCAACAGGGCGACAACAGCGCGGAGACAGAAGCACGCTGTAAACCCTAAACCTAAAATTAACCCCTAACCCTAAACCTAACCCTTACCTTAAGTTGAATCGGCTTGCTTTCAAAGCGCTATTTAAAGCACCCTTCTTTCTCCGTGCTGGCAGTTGTCGCCCTGTTGATGACGTCAGTGACGCGGTTTAGTCGAGCGTGGTTTAGTCGAGCGCGGTTTTGATGGGTCACGGTTGCGAATAGAGGATTGGAGTACTCTTCTCGTGAAATACCTCTGGACTCGCTCACTTGTGTTAATGTCCAATATACAGTGCAGATTCCAGACAGATGAGCTGTATTCGAGGATTGGTCTAGCAAAGGTTTTGTATGCCCTGGTTTGCAGTTAGTTAGGTTAACAACTCTTAATGCCTTTTTGGCAATGCTGTTACAGTGAGCTCTGGCACTTAGATCATTTGATATGAGTACTTCAAGGTCCTTGACAGAGTTCCCCAAATGTTCCACCAGGCAGGATTATGGAAGTCACGTTACACTTGTCTGGAGTGCACCGCGTTGGAGAAGGCAGCTGTGAGTGTGCTTGTCCTGAGAGTACGTGATTTGTGAGAATCAGCATGAATTGAGGGTGGATCTCGCCAACAAGTGTGAAAGAAATACATTAATCTTTTTATATCCCACTCATTTGAATGGAACCAAGCAAAGGTCCCTGAATTGTCAGAGGCACACAGTATCAAAACTATATAGGGATATATATGCAAATAGCCTAGAGTTAGTTTCACTAGAAATTATTCTAGCATATTTTTGACAAGGCTTGACAGTTGCGAATAGAGGAGTGGAGTACTCTTCTCATGAAATACCTCTGGACTCGCTCACTTGTGCGTTTTTTTTTAATGAGGAACAAAGGAAGTGTCTGATTTTCTTAGGCTTGCTTGGAAATAGTATACCATCTGCAAGAAAAAAAACACCTCTCAAGTATAAAGTCCTTTTGGGATCATTATAATGAAGCCAGGTTTCGTATGACATTTCTGCCCCAGGCAATAAAAGATGTAGAATTGCCTTGACCAAGAAGAATTGCAGGTTCAATCCTTCATTTTTCCTTGGCTATAATGCCTGGTTTAGCTTTTTCTCATAAATCTATAAAAGATTTAAAAGACAGTCTTAGATGTGTGTTCCTGCATTTTGCAAGCCCAGCACACAACATACAGAGAAAGTCATCGGTTTGTTGACTCAAGTGTGACTCACACTTAAGTGGAATCCAGCCTCTGAGCACAAAACAGATTAATCTGGGTCACATGTGCATGTGCAGTTTTTCTCATTCGTTGTGCTTCCTCTTTCTCTTACTCCCTCTGCATACCAGCTGCTGAAGGAGGAGAGAATCTTGATCAGATTCTTGCTTTTGCACTGCTTTTGCACAGGATGCAAGAATATATATGACTTCCTTCCCTCCCACCACTCTATATAAACACTCCTATTTTTCTCCAGATATCATTGGAAGATTCTTTTAAGTTAATTGACATTTTCTAATCAGATTTACAGTGTTGGGGACAACAAATGAGCGAGCAGGCAATTACTGAGAAAAGCCTATGTGGCTGAAGGAGTCTTATCAAGAGAAAATCAAGCCCTTAAAATCATGACAATGAATTGGAAATCTTTTAAATAGAGGATGGGTAGATCTTCATCATTTTCTCGATTCTGGCATATGAAAATACTGTCTTTTGAAAGAGGCCTTCTTTTTTCATAAAAATGACTTTCAGGATTTGTTTGCCAGACATATTATTCCAAGAAATGATGGTAAAGATAGAAACAGATAAGTTAAATATAGAAATGGTTTATCCACTGTTTATTGTATAAATCACATTTAATAAGGTTGTAGAGCATGCTTATGCCATAAGCTACAACTTTAGGAATATAAATCCAACATGAGTGTCATAAAGTAAATGTTATTTTAATATTTCATTTACAGGGTGTTTTTTTAAGTGAAATGTTAAAGCTATTGTCCTGGCTATCAATGACCCAGATATTAAGAATTTACAATTGTGTATCTGTTAACATCCCATAATGTAGGATGCATTATGTTGTAAATCTACAAACTTAGAAACATTTGGAGCTCATACCTACAAATTTTAAACAATACTATAACAGACAATCCAATTGTCTTCTAGTATCTGTAACCATTGCAAAATTATTACTACTGAGTTACATGAATAAATGAATTTTTATTATGGTATATGACCAGTCATTAAACATGTTTTGTGTGTATTTAATATGTTTGTGTATATGTGTAAGAAATGACCAGGCTGAGCCCAAAGGAGTGGTCAAAATGTGTGATCAGTCTAGAGTTCCTTCCTGCCCACAGCTCTTCTTAAATTCCATTGACTTATCTATCACCTATTTGCTTTGATCATTAGTAGTTCAGATTCTTCTAGACAGCCTAAGCTTGCAATAAACATTTATATTACCGTGTTTCCCCGAAAATACGACAGGGTCTTATTTTCTTTTTATCTACAAAATATGGCTTGGGCTTTATTATGGGGGAAGGGTTTATTGTTTTGGGCTTGCCAGGCAGCTGCTCTCTTGCAAGCGGGCTCCCAAAGAGCTGGGCACAGCATCGTGGGCCAGCTGCTGGCAGAGAGTACAACAATAGAGCGTGTGCCCAGAGCGGCCACTGCCGAAAGACTCGGTTTGGAAGGTGCGGAAAAACCCAGGCTGGGATGGTGGCGGCAGCAACGGCAGCCGCGGCGGCGGCATCCTGGCTCCGTAATGACAGCTGGGCCATGCATTGTGAGCTGGGAGGCGGGTGAGTGAGAGCAGAGCAGCTGCTCGCGCAACTCCCCTCTCCAGTCATGCAGAGCGCCATTCACTGGCATTTGGAAAGCGCCAAGCCATGGGGGCTGGGCGACGGCGAGCAGGCGCTCACACGGCTTGGCACCTTCAGGATACTGCTAGGTTGGTGAGTGGCGCTCTGCCTGGCTGGAAGTGGGGGGTTGTCCAGGGGGCTTATATGCGGGGGAGGGGCTTATATTTTTGCCCACCGGAAAATGTGGCATGGCTGTATTATGAGGACATGTCATATTTTGGGGGAAACACAGTAATTTTAACTACATAGATTTCTTGATTTTCTCCATGCTTGACAATAGGTGCCTTCAAGTAAATGTTGATTCCTGGCAATTGCCTAGACAGGCACCTGTAATTCTCTTGGCAAGATTTCAGAAATAGTTTGCCGTTGCCTCTTTCCTAGGGCTGAGAGGAAGGCACTGATCCAAAGTCACCAGGTTGGCCTTGTGCCTAAGGCAGGACTAGAATTCACAATCACTCAGATTCTGGGGCCTTAACCACTACACCAAACTGGCTGTATTAGGCACTTTATATACATGAACTAATCTTAGTTACTATCTTAGCTACTCCTGAATTATGTTATGTAATAAATCTGTGATTTGGGTTGATATTAGGCTAAGTCAAACCAATTTGCTTGGTTTTGCCCTAGCTCACATAAACCTTGGTTTTATGGATTGTCCATGTTTTATGCCTTAGTGTAATGTGTGAATAAATAACATTTAATGCCATGATGGTGAACCTATGCCAGAAGTGGCACACAGAGCCCTCTCTCTGGGCACACATGCTGTCACCCCAGCTCAGGTTCACCGCGTTTCTCCATGGTGTTTCTTGTTGACATTTGTGGAGAAACAGGTTTCCCCTCAAACGACGA